CCTCCGTGCTTCGGAAGGTATGGTAAGCCGCTGGTCCCGGCTGCATCTGCAATCGTTAGCACCCGCCAATCTGCACTGGGCCCGCGTGGTGGGCCAAGACCCAATTTCCTTATTCCATCCATAGGGAAATCTGTGCCCCAGCAGTGGGGACGTTAAGAGGCTGATGATTAAATACCCACATACAATATTTCGTGGAAAAATCCATTTTTCGGACGAAGACAAAAGTGCAATAAGCAGATACATATAAATATAGGTTAACTATGAAATTGCCGTTCTGACAGTACAAGCCATTTCAAGTCAAATTTTTCTTTGTTCACTAAGATTTGTATGTTCAAATTATTTTAGGGCAGGGTAATGAATAACAAATTGCATTTCATTCCGACTTGGTCGCGGATGGAAGTGCCAAAATACAAAAAGGGATAAAATTTACAATAAATGAGAATTTATTCGCATTGGATAGTCAAACTCGTATGCTGTGCTGCACTAAGACAGAAATACACTGTTCATTTGTTAAATTTAAATAAAATTGTACATGTCATTGTAGTTTTTTTTTCTAAATGGTTTCACACGGTTTGTGCATTTAGCCAATGTCAAGTGTTAAAATGTTTACAAATACTGTAGCACTCGTGGTCAAAGTAAGTGGCAGTCAAGTCAAACCCCCTTTCCCTATGTTTCAGTAAATGTGTGGGGATTTACTGGAACCTCCCCGTGGACTTCTTGAGGGAACGTCGAAAGACACTTTCCGCTATTTTGTTTCACTTAGCAACACTTGTGCATATTCCCGAATACTTAGTGGTTAATAATCCACCATTATTAGACACATATTAATCCGCCATAACACAATTTTTAACAAGAAAAACAAAACTGCTAAGGTGACGCTTTCCGATCCCGCCAAAAAGTCCGTCATTGTAGTTAGTTACACGTCTTGGAGGGCACGATCAATTTTTTTTCCAGTATACAAAATACAAAAATCTTTATTATTCTTCTACATCAAAGTTTACAAGGTGTGGGTCTTCTTATTTTAAGTTAAGTAACCTGTATTAGAAGAAGACCGCTCCTTCATTCCGGTCTTTATAAATAACTAGCTGACCCAGCGAACTTCGTACCGCCCTAAAAAATAGGGGTTGTCCAGCGGACAAAATTGTGAATCTAAACCATTCTCAGATCCCCTTGAACACACACAAAAAATTTCATCAAAATCGGTCCAGTCGTTTAAGAGAAGTTCAGTGACATACACACTCACAGAAGAATTATATATATAAAGATAATACAGCAATAACTTTAATTTAAATTATACTAATTACACCTGTGTGTTTGGTGTGTACGTGTGTGTGTATGTGGTGTAAGTGTGTGAATGTGTACGTGTGTTAGGGTGTCTGTGTATGATTGCGTGCGTGTGGGAATGTGTGATGCGTTTGTGTTTAAGATGCATATGCGTGTATGTGCTGGAATGTGAATACTGAATAAGGCAGTAAAAAATATAGCATTTAAGTTTAAGATACATATCTTTCGTCAAGCTGTTTTCGAAGTTTGTAGGCGTTGCGCTGATTTCCATTTTATAGATATCAATTTAATAATTTAAATTCCATTTTATAATTTATGTTAACTGAACACTTATAAATACTAAAGGTTAACCTACATAATAAAGAAAAAACATATGGTTCACAATAAGTTACAATTTCATTCTTTTAAAATTAATTAACTTAACTATAACTGTTACATAAACGGTCGACCATAATAAGCATCCAGGTCAGAGTTAACTTAATACCAACTTAATTAAATTTCCTATATCATGTTAGCAATTAATGTTAACTTATAGTACGAGTGTAAACCTTATACACATTGAACGATTCCTTCCACGGAGAATCGACCTTTAGCTTCAGGCTACAATTTGTATAATGTGCAATCAACCGCAGCGGCGTGTTGACTTAATTAAACAAATAGTTACTGTCTAATTAATAGGAAATATTTGATTATGTCTATCACACGATACTTGGTTATAATAACTATACATACCATTGATGCACAATAGGGGTGATGACGGGGTACAGTAAACGAAATTCTATTTAGTCCGTCAGTTAGATGATCAAAAAATAATGGACACGTATTTTTTCTTTGGGCAATCAACCAAAAAATGAGAAAGTTATAGCGCGTCAAAGTTTGGGAGTAGGGGCTCGTGACGTCACTTTTGAGTGAATTTTCACTTATAAGTGTACTCAAACGTGACGTTACGAGCCCCTACTCCCAAACTTTGACGCGCTATAACTTTCTCATTTTTTGGTTGATTGCCCAAAGAAAAAATACGTGTCCATTATTTTTTGATAATCTACCTGATAAACGAAGAAAAAAAAAATTAGTCATCATCCCTATTACGGAACACTTGGTTGGACTTGAAAGATGAAAAGGTTTAACCAAATTTTGCCTCACTCTTATGTGTAGTAATTATAACCATATCGTGTCGTGTGATATCATCATCATATCATTATCATCAGTCTATTAATGTGTGGCGGGGCACCGGCCTTCCCTATGGTTGGAATAGGGAGATTGGGCCATGACCCACCACGCGGGCCCAGTGCGGATCGGCGGGTGCTAACGACTGCAGATGCATCCGCGACCAACAGCTTAATATAGCTTCCGAAGCACGGTGCAAGTTTAAAGTTTAAGTATTTATTTGTACTGCCTGTTGTTTGTGAAAGTATTTATATATTGTAGGAAACTGGGTAAATAACATTGTACCACTGTCCCTTTACAATTTCAAATTAAAAATAAGATAATGGTTATTAAGTTTGAATTACACGGAGACTGTTTAAGCTTTGTAACTATAGTAATATACTAACGAATTGATGTTAATGTAAAACGATAAAAGATAAAATAAACACAAACTAAAATATTAAATTACTTTATAATGCAGCCATCTATGAGAGATAGATGGCGTTGATGCATGGTGAAATGCGATATGGTTCTGTTTCGGATAAGATTAGATATTAGGATAAAATAAGTTAATAACGCCGGTCATAGATGGCGCTAATTTATCGTGAATTGCAGTATGGTTTTGTCTCGGTGTTTATACAAGTATTTTTTAAACCTTGTTAATGTGCTTTTTCACTGTTTACCATATTAAAGTTATATGGATACACTTCAGCCTTTCAATTGAACATCCCACCACATCCAGAATTTTACACAGAGACAGAAGAAATATACTGAAAATAAATATAACTATGAACACACTTGTGTGTGTAAGTGTGTTCATAGTTATATTTATACATACACACCCACATTACACACACATTCACACTTGGCACATCACACAGGGGCAGATTTTATATTATCTATTTTGATAAGTCTCTCCTTACTTCGTCATAAATAAAACGTTGAGGAGCTCGATGGCGCAGGTGGTTAGCGCGTTCGGCTGCGATCGTTGAGGTTAAACAACTTTCGCAGTGGTCGGTCATTGGATGGGTGACCAAAAATTTCTGTCTCCAGTTCCTCCGTGCTTCGGAAGGCACGTTAAGCCGTTGGTCCCGGTTGCATCTGCAGTCGTCAGCACCCGCCAATCCGCACTGGGCCCGCGTGGTGGGTCATGGCCCAATCTCCCTATTACATCCATAGGGAAGGCCTATGCCCCAGCAGTGGGGACATTAAGAGAAGCTAAGCGCTGCAAGGCAGCGCTATCTCTTCGCAATATGTCAAATGAATACTTTTACAAGTATTAAACATTTGAAAGAAGAAATAGCAATTATAGTTATAATTTTTATTACCTAAATTCATCATTGCGAGTTCGTAATGAACCTGCAATGAGTCCGCCATTAGCTAATGTAATCGGGTAAACGGAATTACTTTGCTTCATAACATGTCAACAAGCAATTTATTTCGATTCCTGAATTCTAAACAGCATAAGTAAGCACCTCTTCATTAAACGAGCTTTATCAAAGACATCTATCATTAATTACTTTTATCTACCTACTTACTTCGATTATTGACTGTAATGTTATGTGTGACATTATGTTTGAATATTTCTAGCAACACAACTATGGTAGTCATGAACAAAGTCGACAAGTTTGTTGTTATTTTCTTCATAGTATTGCACGTGATTTTCTCTTTGAATTTCGGTTACTCTTCTGGCTTCTCGAAGAGATTCGCTTTAGTAGTTAAAATATTTTCTTTGGTACAAGTGTTAGGTTTGATTGCATTATTTTGGGTTTATGTGTATCCATCGTTGGGAAGAGTCTGGAATTTGTGGATGATCTTAGGATGGTGGCAGTTAAATATGACCGCTGCTGGCTTGGCGTTCTTCAGTTATCGTTATTCTTTTTACAGCTTGATTAAAGACTTCAGTGATATAGACATATTTTTAGGAAACGACGCAGGATGTTTTATCAACATTGTAACGATCTGTGTCACCTTAGGTGTCATATTGTGTAGATACGGCTACGATTTGTTTTTGTGCTACATAGAAGCGTTTAATTGCTCTGCGGTTCGCGCTGCGCAGTTCATCAGATTCAATTACCTATGTTTCAATATAACTATGGTCGTCAGCTTCTTTATCTTCTATAATGCGTACTACCGGTTGAAAATACTGAATAAGTCGTTCAGCAACAGGTGCTTGCATGTATTTGAATGTTTGAAATTGTACAAGAGCATCAATGATATTGTGGATAATATAAAGCAGGTGTTCGTATATCTTGTAAGTACCATCAAATGATTGCAAGACTACTGACCATGTAACATAACATTTGTAACACCTATTATGAAGTTTGAGGATAGCTTTTTAAAATATCTGATTGCTAAAGGTATTTCAAATAAAGTCATCGAATTTACTAACGTTATCATAACAATAATATTAGTAATTTTGGACAGTGTAGAACACATACCTCCTAGCGCTTTCAAATGTTTTTTTCGATTTAAATATTTTTTCTTTTTTTCAGTATGTTGTCGCCTTGATCCAGAAAATAGTGGATTGGTTAATGCTGTTCTATATGTGCATACTCCATTTAATTCATATGGATATTGACATGGTAAAAGTTACATCCGTTATCTAAAGGAGTTGATAATATGGGACAGTTGATAAGGGAGAAAAGAAAAAAATGTGTGCGTGTACTAGTGTACACACGTAAGAAGTGAAACTTCTTTATGGCCTTATTTTTCGAAAAATGATCTACATGCAACTTTCCAGAAATTGGTTAAATAAAGTTAAATTAGATAAAGTTTAAACAAAAGGTTTTTATTATCATGGACATGAATACAAATTACTGCCTATGAAACTGTTATGATTACACGGCTCAGTAATCTAAGGTACATGTTCCATCTCCGACGATGAACGATAAGCGAGTAGAAACTAGAAACGAATTGGCAGTCCTGAGTTAAAATGCACGCGCACGGCTTTTGACAGCCAAGCCAGCTTAACCGAGCGAGTATAGCTGAGCGAGTATCGCTGAGCTAGTATCGCTGAGCGAGAATCGCTGGGCGAGAATCGCTGGGCGAGTATCGCCGAGCGAGTATCGCTGAGCGAGTATCGCTGAGCGAGTATCGCTGAGCGAGTATCGCTGAGCGAGTATCGCTGAGCGAGTATCGCTGAGCGAGTACCGCTGAGCGAGTACCGCTGAGCTAGTATCGCTGAGCGAGAATCGCTGGGCGAGAATCGCTGAGCGAGTATCGCTGAGCGAGAATCGCTGAGCGAGTATCGCTGAGCGAGTATCGCTGAGCGAGTATCGCTGAGCGAGTACCGCTGAGCGAGTACCGCTGAGTGAGCGAGTACCGCTGAGCGAGTACCGCTGAGCGAGTATCGCTGAGCGAGTATCGCTATGCGAGTTTGGCTGAGCGAGTCTTATCTTTAATAACTATTGTCACTCAGCTACAAACGAGTAGAGAGAGTTCTCGCCGGCGACAGTGTGATCATTCAGCTATCAACTATTAATATAAAAAAAGATGGCGCGTAACGGAAACATATGACGCGTAACCGAAAAATGTGACGGTAAATTTTGTTCCAACGCCGATAAAGAAGTTTCACTTCAAAAATATATACTGCACCGATTCCAAATTATTGAGTAGGAAAAAGTAATTATCTGCTATGACGACTGCTGAATCAAGTGATTTTATTTTCCAGGGCTTTCGTTTTCTGATGACTGTGATTAACGCCTGCTTGTCTTTGGTAATAGCGTTTCTACCAGTGATCTCAATAAGTTTATTAAAATTGGAAGGGGAAGCATTAGAGTTAAACATACATGAACGTCTACTGCAGGAAAGAGGTAAGTATATCGTCTTTTTTCATCTTGTATCTCTTAAGCGTCATTCGCAATGGCCAGGAATTACATGGTTTCCCAAAAAAGTATTATATCGAATTCCTTCGTGCTTTGGTCCAGGCTGCACCTGCAGAAGTAAGCACCTATAAACCTGCACTATGTTTCAAGCAAAATCCAGCTTCAGCTGCAGTAGGGACATGAAGTAGCAGTATATTTTTTAATGACTTCGAAAGCAGGCGAGCAGTCGGGCCATCTGATGTTAAATAGTCACTGGTGTAGATTCCGGCATGATTCACTAAACCTAAACTAAAATTTGACAACAGTTCATCCTTGTCATTCTCTATACAGAATGAAAAGGTGAGAAGGTTGATTTAGTTTTCAGTTCAGAAAATCATGCCAGAATTGATACCATTATTGCCATTGGACATCAGCAATGCCAATGCTACAGCCATGCCGGTGCCTTTCGTGGATACTATTTTTTAACCTTTTCTATCTGCTTCCAGATGGGGAGCTGCAATATCAATTGCAGATGTTTGCAGAGTACGTGGAGGGGCGGCCGACGCGGTTTCAGCTGCTCCGGGTGTTCGAGCTGGACTGGACGCTACCGCTGAAGATAATCCATCTCTGTGTCACCTACCAGATCATTATAGTGCAATTGACGCATTTGTTCTGAATATACCTTATGAATATATTGTTTTAAACTTTCATGGTCACTAACATGATAGTAATATAAGTTATTTACGGGATTGTTACCATGTACCTTGTTTTTAGCGAGTTTCCGATATTTCGGCACTGTTGCAAGCGCCATGATTAAGGAGTAACTGACTCTTTGATTACTCCATAATGGTAACAATCCCGTAAATAACTTATATTACTATAATACCTTATGAAGTTTTCTTAGTCATTTTTTTGAAGTTATACTTCTTTAGGCGCGTTATGAAAAAATATGAGAGTGAAATTTTAAGATGCGCGCGCATCACTGTAACACCAAATTTTAACATAATGAAGTTGGTCGCTTTAGCGACCAACTTCATGCGTTACTTTTGTGTTTACCGCACATTAAGAAAATCTACCAACAAAATAGAAATAGAATCTCTATTTAGTGGGTGCTAACGACTGCATTGTGAAGGCCTATCAAAAGTATTTATTAATCTGGAACAACAGAACCAAAGCGCGATTCAGGAGACTACAGCGCCATCTCTTGACCATTGGTGTAGTAGAACCAAAAACCACATTTTTATTTTTTGTAATAAAGTAACAGTTATAGGTATTCATATTTATAATATCAAAAGTATTTATTAATCTGGAACAACGGAACCAAAGCGCGATTCAGGAGACTACAGCGCCATCTCTTGACCATTGGTGTAGTAGAACCAAAAACCACATCTTTATTTTTTGTAATAAAGTAACAGTTATAGGTATTCATATTTATAATATTTATCCACATGTTTCTAGTTTGTATATTCGGAATACGTGTTTGAGTTTCATACAAGTGCAAATCACATATGTTCTAATAAATTATATTCAGCAGCGATTTTAATTGAATATTTTGATTATTTATTTATTTTTTCAAATTAAAACTGAACTTTATTGACTTCGTCCTTTTCCAGACTTTTTATTAATTTATTGTAATTAATTATTTGCATGCAATTAAAAACTAATTTTAAACGATGCCAAAGAAGGATAACTTCTCACGCGCCTACATAAGTACACGCACCCATTTTTTATTTTATAAGCATGTAACTTGGCTCGACGTTTAAATCTAAAGAATATATTTAGAAGAAAAAAATCTACTCGGACCAGGCATTTTTTATCATTTTTAAATTTATCCAAATTTATTTGTGTTATATATTCGTAGTATAAGATTCACAATGTATGAAAAAAAAATGGATGCGTGTAACTTATGTACGTGCGTGAGAAGTTATACTTCTTTAGCATCATTAAAAATATTTTTTAATTGCATGCAAATAATTAATAATTACAATAAAATAATAAAAGGACTGGAAAAGGATAGTTAACACAGTCAATTAAGTTCAGTTTTAATTTGAAAAATTAAATAAATATTCAAAATATTCAATTAAAATCACTACTGAATTTAAGTTATTAGTCCATATGTAATTAGCACTTGTAAGTAACTAAAACACGTTGTGTCTATATAGAAACTAGAAACATGTGGATAAATATTATAAATATGAAAACAGTGATCAGAAGCGACGAGCGTGCCAACATTGTTTTTGACAACGCGATCATCTTATGGAGCTCCGTGGATCGTTCAAAGTACCTTTCGAACAGATGTCTAATAATGGTGGATTATTATTAGACACTAACATTCATAACGCGCCCGCGGCCAACTTCATGGTGTTACTATTGTGTTACAGTGATGCGCGCGCATCTCGAAATTTCACTCACATGATTTTTTCATAACGCGCCCGCGGCCAACTTCATGCTGTTACTTTTGGGTTACAGTGATGCGCGCGCATCTAAAAATGTCACTGTCATCATTTTTTCATAACGCGCCTAAAGAAGTATAACTTCAATAATTGCGTTTGTGGTAAAATGATGTTCGGCTATGTGTACCTAATTCATAAATATGAGTTCCTATGGTTTTAGTGTGATTGATTAGCAAAGAAGGATATTAGCAACCCTTATACACTCGCTAAACGAAAATTCGTTTTATCTATTTTGGTGTCTAGCGACAGTGATTAACGAGTCATTATCCGACGGATCTCCATTCAAGCTAAGTACGGAACCCTTTTAAGTATTGTTGCTAAGATTTTAAATTAATGAATGCGCAGTTCTTTGTTCGCGAAACAATGGTGTAATCAATTAATTTAGCTTTTTTGTTTTTACAGGCGAATCTATGTGAACGATGTTAAACATGTTATTTTGTACTCTACAGTAATTACAGAAAATGTACACAATGACAGCTATAATAGTTTTCTGAGTCACATTCATCAGTACCCCAAGCACAGACCGATATCGAATTCGAATAGTTTGCGAGTCCGAAATGTCATTGTCAAATGTGTACTGATTTTTAGTTCTCGTTACGTACTTTGTGGCCACTGCTATTAAAATACTTGGATTAAAATATTCATCTTTACCAATCTATTAATGTCCCCACTGTTTGGGCACAGGCTTTCCTGTGCAGATTGGTGAGTGCTAACGACTGCAGATGCAGCCGGGACCATCGGATTAACGTGCCTTTCGAAGCAGGGAGGAGTTCAAGATAGTAAAATTTTGGTCACCCATCCAATGACCGACTACTGCGAAAGTTGCTTAACTTCAACGATCACAGACGAACGCGCTAACCTCTTGAACCATCGAGCTCATCGGCAACGGTGGCAATGCCACGCTGGCGCGATTTAAACAGTTGTAATGTGTCGGCTCATATGAAATAAGTCAGCGGGACACGCCGAGTACGACGGGGCTATGTGACGTACTTCTTTATAACTGATACATACATGTATATATATATATATATATATATATATATATATATAGATATATATATACTAGCGGACCCGACAGACGTTGTCCTGTCTACACGTCTTTAATTTGAAAATTTCAAACTTTTTTTAATAAGCTAAAACATTCTGGACCATTTTGATGAAAATTACCATTCTCAGATCCCCTTGAACACACACAAAAAATTTCATCAAAATCGGTCCAGTCGTTTAAGAGAAGTTCAGTGACATACACACTCACAGAAGAATTATATATATAAAGATTTGACACTGTGATGGTAGCGCCGTCTGTCGGATCCAATGTAAAACATTTCAAAATCAACAACTACTAATAAATTAAAAATTAATTAAAAAAACATTGTCCAGCGGACAAAATTGTGAATCTAAACCATTCTCAGATCCCCTTGAACACACACAAAAAATTTCATCAAAATCGGTCCAGTCGTTTAAGAGAAGTTCAGTGACATACACACTCACAGAAGAATTATATATATAAAGATATCGGGTCTTTCAACAAGGACGGGTCGATGTTAAATTAAATAAAACAAGTTGTATGTAAAAAAAAATTGAAATGCCCATTTATGCCATTATTTATGAAATATGACATCGCTTAAATGTCCACCGCGGCTTCGAACGGTGGCACGGATCCGAGAGATCCAATTTTCAATTACTCTACTACATAGATTCGGATGAATCTGAACGATGGCCTGCGTTATGTTGACTTTCAGGGCATCGGTTGATTGCGGATTATTAGCATAGACCTGCGGCTTGAGAAAGCCCCACAAGAAAAAGTCTAGTGGGGTCAAATCGCACGATCTTGGTGGCCAATTCACTTCACTTCTGCGAGAGATAACCAAGGGCGGATGCAGCTTTAGCGCCAGGGGGGGGGGGGGGGTCATATAGTCGTGTTCAATTCACAGTGGGTACAAATTGTGAAGTGGGTCCAGATGGACCCGGCCCAGGGGGTCATGACCCCCATGACCCCCCCTCTGGATTCGCCCTTGGAGATAACCCTACCCTCGAACCGTTCATGCAGAATGTCTATTGTGTCGCTCGCTATGTGGAACGTAGCGCCGTCTTGTTGGAACCACACGTTGTCCACGTCCATATTGTTCAATTCAGGCCAAAAGTTAACAATTAATCATTGATCTACAGCGCTCTCCGTTGACAGTAATGGCCTCGCCATCATCGTTTTCGAAGAAGTACAGACCAATGACGCCGCCATACCAAAATCCGCACCAAACAGTAACTTTTTGTGGATGCATTACCCCCTGGTGAACCTCATGTGGATTGTGGTCGCCCCACATACGGCAATTTTGCTTGTTAACAAAACCATTCATCGCCTCAAAAATGCGCCTCGTCGCTAAAGATGATTTTTCGGCCTAAATCGAGGTCCTCTTCCAAACGTTCTGTAGCCCAGTCAGCGAACAAACGGCGTTGTCTATGGTCATTCACTTTGAGCTCCTGGGTCAAATCCCACCAACCATCCATGGCCTGACGAACCTTCTTGGTTATACAGGCCGAAGCAACGGGAGATACGCGCGGAACAGCCTCCACCGCGCGTACTTTCTTGACTCCCTACAAATTATTCTTTATCTATCTCCTTGTCCCTATGGTCCCTCTTCCCTTTCTGGGGCGGACAAACACGAAACGCCTTCGTCGCCATCCCAGCCGTCGCGTGCCGTGTAAATTGAAAGGTCTTCTTCTTTCTTCACCTCTCGAGTCTACTCCGAATCTTGTGCCATCTACGCGCGAAATCCCGCAGCCGCCTGAAGTTCGCCTCCGATCCCACAAGGTCGCGATAGTAGACCGGCCCAACCTCGAGCACCTTCACACTGTCCAGAAGCTCCTGGGTCTGTTGGATCTTGTACGGGTGTTGGCCCAAATCTCGACGCAATATTCGCCAAGTTGAAGTCTGCGAAAGGCCGAGTTCTTGTGCACGGCGAGAAATCTACTGCCTCAGAGTCTCCTGCACACTTACGGACAGCGGCGATGTTCTCGGCCGATCTGGCGTTCCTTTGACGTAAGGGTGTTGGTTGGTTGTTTACCGAACCAGTCGTCTCGGTCACCAAACGATGGAGAGTCGACTTTGAAGGGCCACCGCGTCTGCCGTAAAATGGACGTAATGCGCGCAACAATTGCACTAACGGGCACTTATTTTGATAATAAACTTTTATCATTTGGACGTGCTGCTCAATCGTGTAACTTG